CCGGATATCTTTAAGGGATTGACCACTGGATATTATTAGATTAGCAGGGCAGCACCCCCTCTGGGACCTGCCCGATGGTCAGATATTGTGTCACTTCATATTGTGATCCCACAGCTTTAGGTCAATTTGCCCATGGTGTTTGACTCAGCCAACACGTCCTTTACTTTGGGCTCACGGTCCTAGGTTATGCTGCCCATGCGTGCCTTTCATCAAAAAGGAGTCACGCGCCTCAGGTCAAAAGGTAGACTCAGGAAATGTAACGCGCCCTTCATCGAAAAAGCATTACGCGCTTCAGGTAGGATGTCCAGTTAGGTACGGCTAATGAGGGGAGGGTGGAGTGTTTATCTCCAGCAAAGATAACTTCCACTTTGCGAGTTGGCCAATTTTTGGGGATAAATTTGATTTTTTTGGACAAACCTCATGCTTGGATATGGCGTCCATAAATTTTTTGTAGGTATGCCCCCCTGAGCCAAATTATGATTTGTATTGGGTCCAATACGACCTAAACATATAGCACCGGGCCTCGAATCTTTTGGATTCGGGAGATCCGGCATGAAAGGCCACATATTCCCAGGTTTCTCGTATCTGATAGCGCAGACCACGCTGTCAGAGACAAAGAGGTCGAGAACTGAGTGGTCAGGAGGAGGAGGAGATGTTATATTATCTATGTCGTAGGTCCAATCTCATTGATCTGGAAGAGTCAGGATATAAGGAAGTGTAACCCGTACAGGTACCCGGAGAAAGGAGTCAGCCAGCAAGACAATCTCGACAGTCCAGATCCAGTATCAAGGGATCCGAGCGAGGTATGAATAATCTATTAAGCGGGAAACACTGTTCAAATTTCCCTTCATTCGATAATTGGAATATGCCTTGGACTGATTTGATTGCCCATACTCTTTACAAACCCACGAGGCCGGAAATTTAATGTACTATGCTTACACTTGTCAGGTGACAATGACAATTCACAGCAGACAGAAGAAAAAGCAGAAGATCAGCGAAGACCATACCACGACTTAACTGCCGACCCAACCCGTACGTTGAGAGTGAAAGGGATGCACCAAGGAAAGGTCTCGCAGCAGAAGGAACACGTAAAGAAAAGTTGGTGAGACCATCAGAGGCATGATGCAAGAATAAGATTCAAATCCAACCATGTCGGATCACAGACCGACCCGCAAAACCCACGACCCGAGGACCGGCCTGGTATACTATTCTGGGTAAGGTTAAATTCTATAAATACTTAACCCTTTCCAACAAGAAAAGGGTTCATTCTCTTCGCTATCTTAAGGTGTATGTTATCTCTCTAGATACTCGTGTACTTTAAGCTTCAGTACTCTCACACTTGAGGTCATTATTTCGACCATTCAGTACTTCCTCTCCACGGTGGTTCCTAAACCATGGAACATTTCCACCCTTAAACTCTTACATTTCTTCTCTTTTCACCACAGAAGGCACACCACACAAAGATGCGAACAGATTCCACATTTCTCAGGAACTCTCGGCCCAATTTCTTCTCTTCATTTTCTGATTTCTTGTCTCTCTCTGATTTGTCACTTAGTGGTCTTTCTTTCACTGTTTTCAGATTTGAGCGTCGGAGAACCATCGAAAAATATCATTCCATCATGTTTTCCAAGCCTTCACATATTTGTTGGTTTTGCAGGAGACTTGCCTTCAAAGAAAATTAAAAATCCCCTAAACATTATACATAGTTAGCACGAAATATCTCAGTAAATTGACTTATATAATAAGAAAAAATCATCATCCTTAAATATGTCATGGTTTCTTCTACTTTTTGTTGATCCACGAGAGAGATGAAAAGAAATGTGCAATTTTTGTTTAGTTTAAATGGTTATTTATTTTAAAATATATGCTACATTTTTTTATCTAGTGGATTTGTGATTTTCCATTGGATCATTGGGTTTTACATGTTGTTCAAAATTGGAGTGCGTTTTGTTTACCCTCTATGTGTAATGTGTCTATCTAAAAAAATATGTGCGGAATTGCTTTAGCATTTTTTTTAAAAATGCACATGTTAAAAATAAGTGTTAGATTTGGTGAACATTTGCCTGTTTTTATATATATATATTTTTTTAAAATCCGCACCACACTTATGTCTCTATTCAAAGCCTTATTTCCAAATGATGACAGCGTATTTGGCTGTGTAGGAAAAATGGTTTGAGAGTACGATATGATTAAACTGCAGTATGTACGAAAAAATATGTTTGTCGATTAGTACAGAATAAGCGGCACAGAATAATGTTTGATTGATTTAAAAACGAATTACGGTTCACAATAAAATGTTTGAATGATAAATAATGTTAAAAGTGGTGTGGATTACAGATTGTAAATAAATATATTAGAAATAAATATATGAAATAATTACAATAATTGTAAATTATTGTTTAAGTCTTTTGATTTCAACCAAATCTTAAACCAACATCTCTTTTAATATCATTGTGCTTACATATCCGTAGAAACATAGCCACACTTTCGGCAATGCTCATATTTAATATTGGTTGTAGACTGTAATGTATGATTGGTATTAAAAACACTAATGTATAAAAAATTATACCTGAAATGTTGTGAGAGAGATTGAAAAAAACTTGATTTTGTTTTCTTTTTGTGTGTATAGATGTAGGCTTAGGTACAATAAAACCTCTATAAACTAATAATGTCGGAACTATGATATTTTATTATTAATTATTAATTTATAAAGAAAATTTGATTTTCGTCTATAAACTTCTAAAAATTTTTGTCAACTAATGTAATATTAAGAATTTAAACAAAAATTTTAATGCAAATTATGATTAATAACCATATATATCGCAATAGAATATTGCGTAGTAGCATATTGGATTGTCCATGTTCATGTCTACATGTTCATAAATTCAATTTTTATAAGAAACTGTAACTACTATCTTTATTATTGATGATGAAATTAAAAAATACATTTAAAAATATTTATGGGTACTATAATCAATTATCACATCAATTTTTTTCAGAAATTTTGATTGCATATCGAAATACAACAGTAATAGCTGCTAATATAATAAATTAATAGATAAACTCCAATGAGATTAATACTTTAAGTAAAAACAAACATATTAGTCACATTTTAGTATATTATATATATTTTCATATATTTATATAATTATTAATTTATATTTTTGTTGAGACCATATATTTACATAGGAGTTTCAAAAACGTTATTATCGAATTTGATAGATTTTTATACAGGCCCAGCTTGAGACCGACAAAATTTCTTAGTTTATAGTGATTATTAATTTATCGATATTTAATTTATGAGGTTCAACTATATATATATAAAATAAATTGTAAATTTAAGAAATAAATTTTCAAATTAAAAAGAAAAAGTCTAGTATTCTTTGCGTTTTTCAAAGAACCGTGGGGTAAATGAAGTGGGCAATTTTGAAATGCGGCTTGATGGTTTATTCACTGAATAAAACCGCAAATTGGTAATGTTTTTAAAACTATTTTTTTCAAAAAAGTATGTTGATTAGAAACTTATGTGGTTTCAATATTTTTTAAGGAAAATTTTCCTTTTCACATTCACCAATCAGGACTTAAATTTGCGATTTGCTCTTCAAAAATAATAAAAAAACAAAAATAATAAATCAAATGCTTAACTGGCTATAACATTGTGGTTTTGAATTCTGATTTATGAATTCTGCTTTTTTTTACTCCCAATCAAAGCCCTAAGGGGTTTAACATCATGTGGATGAACTTACTGAACGTGATGTTCTGTCCTAGGCATTAGATTTATCATGCTTTACTCGATCATAGTAACTCAATCTATTATAATTAGTTATCCAAAAGTGAAACTTTGTATGTATTAGTGACAGAGACAACGCTAGAAACATACGTGAGAACTCAGCTTCTATAGAAACTGACTAAACAGCACCTATAATACGTGGGAACTCAGCTTCTATAGTACATTCTACAACAGCACCTAAAATACTCGCAAGATCATTAGCTTTTTCGTCTATGGCATACACAGACACAGGTCTTGTCTTGCTTCATGTTCTAGTCTTCGAGTCTATATCACATTAGACCTTGAACAGCTCTGCTTCTTCTGTCATATCTCAGATCATATGACATTTGATGTAGTGGCTTTATCATTAACGGTGTCATGAAATATATAATCCTTGTCTTGGGATATTAAGCTTCTACAAACCAGTGAAACAATACTTTCAGCTATAGCACAATCTTAGCTATAGTGTTTGATTTTTGACAGATTATAATAAATTTGTGTACTTGCTTGTTTAAAGTTTAAGAAAATCAAAATATTCAGAATATTACAGCATAAGAAAACCGATTCAGGCATTCCAAAAGAGTACTAAATTCTAGCGAATTTTGAGACTATTTTCGTGATTAAAATCAATTTATGATTATTTTTATGATTAAAATCCCAGCAAATTGCCAAAACTTATGAGAAATTATGAGAAATTGTCCCATATCGAGATGGATCCATCTGAGATCTCTGACGGTGCTTCCCAAATTTTAGTACTTTCTACAAATGAAATGATCAAGGCTGTTTTCAGTCTATATGGGCATAAGTGAAGAAGACTTGGGGAGTTCCTTTTTGTGTATTTGTTTGATCTTAGCGGAACATCTTATGTTTGCAGGTTATGGTATTGCGGATTGCCTATCACCAGAGCACTCGAATGGGTGATGAAACACCCTGAGTCACAACATACAGCTTTATTAAGCAATAAAGGTTTATCCTCATACTCAAATCGTTCAAAAACTACAAATAAGCTTATCCTCATACTCTCTCATATCACTCTTCTACTCCCTGTTCTTCTTTAAGCGAGTCTCTGTTCTCACGTTATAAGAGTGAGATTGAGAATGAAAGACACGTTGCAGTTATGTATGGTTAGCTAAGAGTTATAGACAAAACCTTTGCCCTAACTATAATCAAACCGAAGTTGCTGCATTTGCTAATGACTCACCTTGCTAATTAAAACTAACACACCTAACTCTGAATATAAGTATAATTCATAAGAAGAAATGAAAGCTTTACAATTAAATCGCAGGTTTTCATCATCATATGATTCAAAACCAATGCCCTCAAAGTATTTTTCATTTTTCCTTGATATGAATATACATATTTATCTTCCAGAAAGGAAACTATTATATAAGTATCAGACTTCAACTGGAGACAATGGAGGAACATCTACTAACCGTTCAATTGTTTCCAGCTGATCATATGGAGCAATCTGCAGACAATAAAACATATTTAACCAAAGCCAAGACTCATAACCTCACATATATTGGTAACCGAAGATTTCAAAGTTATATCAGTTTATATACCTGGCTAAACCCGTCAGGCCAAGTTATCGAGACAGCATAGTTTCCCATTGGTCGTATTTCCTCAGGCTCGATATCTTCTGCTACATCCCCGAACTGAATCTTCTGTTCACCAGTCCATTCGTCCTGTTTAAAAAGGATTAAAACAAAATTTGACACTTAAATTTAGGACAGCGGATTCTCGGTAGAATGTCTTGCATACCACGCTTTGGGCAGATCGATCATTTCTTCTGACAGTTGCAGGGTGCAGTAAGAACTCTTCATCTGAGTTTGGCACCTTCACTCTAATTGCCTTAAGATATTTGTCGTACGTCACAGCTGTTGAAACTGTTTTTCACATACAATGCACAAACACGAAAGAGTTTTTTTTTGTTTTAACTTACTCATGCCTTGAAACTATAAAAGAAACATGGTTTTTGCATGGCTTTATATGCGAATAATGGGGTTTTCTTTTACCTTGCTGGCGTATCTTGGCACATTGTTGCACAACACATACTCCGAGATCCTGGAACGTTCTTGCGACTTCACTTAGAGGATCTGACACAACTTCAGGGATTCCGCTATCTCCAGAAGCAGATAACTAACACTCACAAAGGAAAAAGAGAAAACTGTTTAGAACAATGACATCAATATTAAAAATGCATTTGTGTTGTTTCATAGAGGTCTATAAAATTTGTATATTACCGTCGATCTAATGGGGAGGTCAAAGAGGTGAGGTATTCCGAATTGCTCGACAACCTGCAGCAAGAGACGATGTTTCAAAAGTTATCTATATGTGTGCTGCATATACATGTGGCTATTGAAGTTTTCTTTTGTTTCATTATGTGAAACTAAGAGAGTGGGATAGATAAGTCAAGCTACCTGAGAACCAGAACCTTTCCCAAAAGGGTAATAACGTTTCCCATCAGCGTCAAAATGGCACATATTCTCCACAACAGCAACACAAGGTACCTACTCCGTAAAACCAAACAGGAAATAAATCTCGGGTTTTTGTTCATATCTGTTGTTGCAAAGTAGGGAAAGAAAAGCAAGTTCTTCACAAGCTCCATAAAAGGCAAAAAAAAAGAAAGAAAGATATTTATGATGAAAACTTGGGATAAGGGAAATAAAAAACCTTTAGCTTTGAGAACATTCGTACACCTTTGGCAACATCGATAAAGGCCAGCTTTTGAGGTGTGGTGACAATTACAGCTGCTGTTAATGGCGCAACCTGAGTTTTTGATATTCATATTTTTGCATTAGTTTCATCACGAAATGATTAAATAATGCACTCAAAACAAAACTAGTCCAAAATGCGAATAAACTACAAGTATAGAATCTTCAACTCCGAACCTGGCATAAGGTTAATTGAATGTCACCGGTCCCAGGAGGCATGTCGATAATAAGATAATCTAGCTCTCCCCTGCATCAATTTCCGGTGAAGAATTATGAGTATTACTGAAAAAAGTTTCTCAGTCATGATTTTAAATGTAAACAAACAAACCATTCAGCTGTTGTAAGGAGTTGATTTATGACACCAGACACCATTGGACCTCTCATTATGGCACGCCCTTGTCCTGCAAATCCAAATGAGACTAGCTTCACTCCCAAGTATTCTGTTGGAATGATAGTCTTCTTCTCCGGGTCCTGTTGAACATATAAACAACTCGAAAAACTTAGCCTTTTCGTGTTATTGGTATCACAAGATGAATAGTTTAGAGAATGTTTACCATTTCAAGAATACGGCTCTCGGGATTAACCATAGTTGGTAAACTTGGACCATAGACATCAGCATCAAAGATGCCAACTCTTGCACCCATACCAGCCAATGTATATGCAAGATTTACAGCTACTGTTGATTTTCCAACACCTCCCTGAAATTTTTAGCTAACACAAGCCTGAGAGCATGTAACATTCAATATGGCATAAAAAAGCACATTCAATATATACGATAAAATGTGTACAAGCTAAAGAATGAAAGTTTATTGGACGATATTTGTTGTACCTTGCAACTTGAAACAGCCACAATGCTCGAAATTCTTGATAATCCAGGTGGAAGCTGCCCAGCAAATATGGGCTTAGCTGGTTGTGCTGACATTGTCACGTTCACCTTCTTCACCCATGGAAGCACTGCAACAACTTCATTTGCCGTCTGCTCAAACTACAAAACAATATTGTATTATGTAAGAAATGATTCGTTGCTTCCATAACTAAAGTATATAACTCCAAAATCCTCATAAACGGATTGTTTGATTTCAAAACTATTCAACCTAATTCCAGTTGCTAAGTTCCTAATTGAGAATTTATCAAAGAAGAGTGTAATGGGCTACAAAACAATATTGTATTATGTAAGAAATGATTCGTTGCTTCCATAACTAAAGTATATAACTCCAAAATCCTCATAAACGGATTGTTTGATTCCAAACCTATTCAGCCTAATTCAAGTTGCTAAGTTCTTCATTGAGAATTTATCAAAGAAGAGTGTGATGGGCTTTGCCTTCTGCTCAAATTACAAAACAATACTGTATTATGTAACAAATGATTCATTGCTTCCATAACTAATGTATATAACTCCAAAATCCTTATGAACTGATGATTTGTTTGATTTCAAAACTAGCCAGCCTAATTCAAGTTATCAAAGAAGAGTGTGATGGTTTAGTCATTTACCATATCTTTGACTGGACATGCCGGTGTTGTCAGCTCCAAACGGAGTGAAACCTACAAACATGTTTCAGCTTTTTAACAAGAATCTAAAAACAGCACTAGAAAGAAAGAGATAGATGTTAACAGTGTTTTAACATTACCTCTCCTAGAGCTTCATCAATTACCAAATCTTTTACAAAACCACATGACACTATATCTGTCCCGAAATCAGGATCAATGATCTGAGACAAAGCCTTCAACACATCTTTTTCTAAAGTTTTAGCAACGCTCTTACGGATACTACTGGCTGTGAAATGCATAAGTCAGAAGAATCATATACTTATTATATTATAGAGTTAATAAGAAAATAGAAAAATATATAACTCTCAACGCAATTAGCTCATTCTCTACGAAACCTGAAAATTTGGTTCTAAAAACACAATTGAGACAAAATTTCACCTTGAGCGGAAGCAGCTTTAGCTACAGAGAGCTCGCGTTTGAGGATTCGTGGATTGAAGGAGGAAGCTTGAGATTGGAGAAACTTGTCATAAACTTGGAGCAATCCAAGAGTAGAATTGCTTTTTCTGATGTGGAAACAAGGATAGTGCCGCAACGAGTGAGGATGAAGGAGAAGCGGCATGCTAGAGAGAGAGAGAGAGAAGCAAGGAAATCAAACGCCAAACAGAGATATGAACGATTATGAATCACACAAACGAAAAGGAAGGAGACTCATTGTAAACGCCGTCGTTTATATATATATATACATTTTGTTATGTACGAATTCGCAAAGAGTAAATTTTCAATGTCTATCATGAAAGGCACTGACGTGCCCACATAAGAGAAAACATGATTTTGACTGTGAGCGTTTCTAGCTAGTTAGAAAGTCTGCTTGTTTATTCCTAGTTCTCGGCTCAAAAACAACGTTGATATCTTGGGATATAGGACACCAAGGTCCTCAAGTTTGTTGAGCTTCGCTGTGAATACTGACCATTCTTTCGGTCGTTCAACCATTTGTACTAGTTCTTGAGAGTCAGTAACAATATAGTCATAATATTGATTGTGTCTACTGAGACTTCTGACAGCCCATATTAAACTAACGAGTTCAAGGTGGAGGGGAGAGATTCCTTGACGACTCCCTTGAAGTCCTAGAAGATCTATAGTCCCATCTTGTAATTAAGAAATTCAACCTACCCCATTTGTGGGATTATCTCCTTTGCAAAAACCATATATTCGGCAGGTGAATACTGGCAGATCTATACTTTGAAGACCATTGGCCTCCGATCAAGGGTTCCAGAAGGGGATCGGTCATAAAAATTGAATATCTTATTGTTGTGTGCTTTCCAGATGTACCAAGAGCCGTGGATTGATCCAAATAGGTTTAATTATATTCTCTCGGCTGGGAATTCTTGATAATAAGTAATCCACATTCTCATAGAGATTTTTTGATGGAAATACCCCTGGTGCCTAGGGAATTGCTGATAAGGCCCAGCATTGGAGAGTTGGAGGGCATAGAAAGATAAGTATGGTTAATAGTTTCTTCGGCCGCTCCTCATCTAGGAAAACTGTGGTCCGTCCCTAAATGTTTTTTGGTCATTCATCGCCACCGCACCTGATAGCATTTGCCAAAGGAAATGGCACATCTTTTTGGTACTTGTAGCTCCCAAATTTGCTCATTTAGTGCTCTAAGCACGCTAATTTATACCCCGATTTTACAGAATATGTTCCCGTTTTGAGAGATTCCAACAATATCCATCCTTTTTTGGCGTTTGACTTAGGTGGATACTGAGTACCAGCGGTATATTGCTAGGGTCTATGATATCCCGGATGAGGTGCAGATCCCATGATTTTATTATTGGATTAATAAGGTCTGATTACAATAAATGAGGATTGGTCATTATGGACGCACCTTTCAGTGGACGTGCAAAAGTGTCCGGTAACCAAGGGTCTTCCCAAACTAGATTTTTGGTTCCTGTTCCAATAATTCTACAGGCACCCTTAATAACTACATCTTTGGCTGCACTCATACTTTTCTAGCCATATGATGGTCTGAAAGTTTTGGAGGCTTTAAAAGGGTGTGAGTTCTTAAAATATGTACCTTTCACTACAAGAAATATGTAAATTCTTAGCACGAAAAATCTGCTAACATACGTTTTACATATCGTTTTCATAAATGTTATGTCATCGGCAGCTATGCTAGGTGCCACCTATACGATATAAATTTTTTTGTATGCTACGATAGGTTAATAGAACATAGCAATATTTGTATGTGTTTATTAATTTTGTTATAGCACATAAAGATGAGAATACATAATTAGTGCTATGATAGTCTGCAATAACAATCAAATATTGTTATAGCGTTGTTATATGCTGTAATACCCTATTTGATAACTAAATTACATTATTTAACGAGTCATGTTTCGTGCTGTTAAAAATGCGTATACAATAATATGAATTGTTGTGCTTATTTCTGTTATTCGTGTTGCAAAAGTATTCATCCGGGACCAGATCTAGTTTGAGAATAGCAGATAAACCATAAAAGTGGAAACATACCTATGGGCGAACCGTGAATGTTGACGAGTTTTAAGCAAGCTTGCATCTTTTCCCTTCCAGGGCCAAAGTGGCAACCTACTGGTCAAGATTGTGAGAGATAGTTGGTTATGATCACGACAATGGCGTATTTATATGTTCGTGACTTGAGTTCTAAAAGTTTTAGCTAGGATCTTTTAATTTACTTTTTTAGCAATGTTTTGAATCGTTCATCCTCGGAGAGAATTTCTCTGAAAACCTAGCGTCTCATCTTTATAAGTTTTTTGCCGATTTTCATACAAGCTTTAGTCATTACGTTATTTTCTTTATTCCAGCCGATTTCATTCAAGCAATTTAAGTCTAGTCGTTTTCATCATTTTTAGTCGATTTTATTAGGTATAGTTATTAGGTCATTTTGATTTCCGTATTTTCCTATTAAGATTAGTTTTACGTTTTAAAGACACCACCAAAATCCCTTAAAATATCACATGGTTCTAGACTTTCTTACTTTATATTTCTTTTGAAGGTTTTTGCAGAAAAGAATCCCTTCCCTTGGATTCGATCCCTAAGTACTACAATCGATCAGCTGTGCACTTGCGACTTATTGATTTCATTAGGGTAAAACTTGACACCCTCAACACAGACCACATCAACGGGCTAGCTTTGCTAACCCACGAAATATGGGGCAAATTGTTGGGGATAAATTCGATCATTCCTATGTGAATGAATTGCATGCTTGCACATGGCGTCCATGGCTTTTTTGCAGGTACGCCCCCCCCTCCCGGGCCAAATTAGGATTCGTATTGGGCTTACGGTCCAATACGACCTAAGCATATAGCATCTGATCTTGGATTCTTTGAATTTGGGAAAAGCCACTTGTTCTCGGATTCCTCGTAACTGACAGCGCAGGCCACGCTGTCAGAGATAAAGAGGTCGAGAACTGAGTGGTCAGGAGGAGGAGAGGTTACATTCTCTATGTACTAGGCCCAAACTCAGTGATTTGGAAGGGTCAGGATATAAGGAAGTGTAATCTGCACATGTACCCGGAGAAAACAGTTGATGGGCCTCAGGGTTGCAGGTCTTTGCAAGCCTGTTGGTCTGGAGTTTTAAATTTATAAAATTCTAATGTCTGAAAGTGCACAGATGTACATTGTTGAACTTAGGGTGTCGATCCACAGAGAAAATGTCTAATCTGCAAAAACTTCAAACTGGGATAAGTAAGTGCTCATGGGTGTTTTTGTGGTTTTTGGTTTACGGGAACTAAAGCTAATCCTAACCTAATATTTACGGGAAACTAAATGCAATGCAAATAAGTTTCTAAAGGAAATCTAAAGGATGTTCGATTCAAACTAGGGTTCTAAACTCATAGGAGGCGACGCAGACTTCTTTGGTTTACCGTAATCGATGTCTAAGCATCTTCCAACTAATCTTCGGGCGAAATGTCTTAATCTATTTCAATTATCTTCATTGAACTAGAATAGGCACATGTATGGCTAACCAACTCTCATCACCTTAACAAACTAATCACTTAAACTCGACAATTAACTCTCGCTCTCCTGCCGGGAATAAGATCATGCAATCACAACTGAATTCATTTGCTCACATCTTCTCTATAGGCATCTTTCGACTCCTATAGCGAATATGTTCTTCTGAAGCTAGGTACGGATGATCTGATACAGCACTCTCGTGGCTCTGATCGATACTAGGCTCAGAGATTAGGTCATAAATCTAACCTCATGCAGTATAAACAACTTAGAAGAGATGAGATCTAGAATATGGTTGTAGAAAACTAGAAATCCTAATCGAACATATATCCCTATCGATACTCTTTAGAAACTTGACTCTCTTGGAATAATCTAACATAATGCATGAAATGATAAAATATATGAAATATGCATCAACTGAAATGGAAAAACTAATTAGATAAAAAGGAGAAAGAAAAATGGTTCAAAGAAAGAATCCCTCTCTCCATCGCCTAACCCTAAGAAAAAAGTTTGGTGGCTCAAAAAATCATTACAGGAGCACACCCGATTAAGGCTGTTAAAAAATGTATTTATAGGTCCTAAGGTCTTCCAAGTCTTAATTAGGGCTTCTCTGAAGAGAAATGATGAAATGGGCTTTGATGTTAGGTCTTGTGGCTCGGCATAGGTCCACCGCGGGTGAGAGTCCTCCGGGGCAAGTGGAATGCACTTTTTCCGCGGGTGAGAGTCTTCCGAGACTGGTGAAATTAGTCAATTTTTTCTTCACGTATCTTTTGATTACACCGTTGGATTGTTCTAATGTAAAGTGCTATGGAAAGCTTGTTGGTTCCTCTTAAATGTCTCCAAATTTGAGTTGGATCAGACGGTGAGAATGTCTTCATTTGAGGATGGACTTCTGACGGTCTGACTCTGAGCTAAAAATGTGGATTTCTTCCATCTTGCCATGCTCCTGAAAAGAGCCTTGAAACTACAAACATAGAAAAACTATAATAAAAGTTCCTAAAACTAATTAAAACCTTTGAAAAAGCATTTGAAATCAATAGTCAGAATGGTTACAAATACGGGTTATCAAGAGTCAGTCCGCGAAACAACCCCGAAAACGCGGTCTAAGTATCAAAGGATCCAGACCAGGTATGAGTAATCCTTTAAGCGGGAAACACTGTTCGAATTTCTCTCCATTCAACAATTAGAATATGCCTTAGTCTGATACGATTGACTATGCCCTTACAAACATACAAGATAGGCATTTAATGCACAATTCTTACACGTGTCAGGTGACAATGACCATTCACAGAAGGCAGAGGAAAAGCAGAAGCTCAGCAAAGGTCATACCGTGCCTGAACCGCCGAACCCAACCCCTACGCTGAGTCGCTGAGGGTGAAAGAGATGCAATAAGGAGCGGTCTCGGTGCAGGCAGAACACGCCAAGGAAAGTTGGTGGGATTGTCAAAGGCATAACACAAGTACAAGATTTGGATCCAGCCAAGCCGGATCACAAACCGACCCGCCCGACTCACGACCCGAAGATCGATCCGGCATATTAACCCGGATCAGGTAAAACTCTATAAATACTTTGCCCTTTCTAACGAGAAAGGGCTTCAATCCTTCTACTATCTTAGGACTCAGACTATCTCTCTAGATACTTGATAACACCGTATTTTGACCACTTTTATGGATCGTTTTGAATTAATTTTTCTATGTTTTTAATTGCTTTCAAGTACTTTTATTACGTTTTTCTAGTATTTGTAGTTCCAAGACTCTTTTCAGGTAACTTAGGGAAAAGCTTAACAAAATGGATAGAAAACCAGACTCCAGCTCAGAGTCAAACCGTCAGAAGTTCACCGCTGATTGAAGGTCTTCTCACCGTCCGATCCAGCTCAAATTTGGAGACCTTAAAGATGGAAGTATCAGCTTTCCAGCACACTTTACATCTTGGCAATCCAACGGTTCAATCAAAAGATATGCGAAGAGCAAGATGTCCCATAAACCAGCCGGCAAGTGTTTCCACCCGCGGCCAACAAGCAATTTCCCGCGGTCAGAAGCACCGCGACCGCGGCCAGCAAGCCATTCCCTGCGGTCACAGCCATCCCGACCGCGGCCAGCTAACTCCGAGCTCGAAGGCCCATTTCTGAAGCCTGTATCATTTTCCCAGCCTCAATTCCGGAACCCTAGACACTAGAGAGTATTGGAGACTATAAATACATGTCATTTAGGTCGTTTTTAGAGAGAGAAGAGGAGAGACGAAATACTTTACAGAAATTTTACTTTAAGCTTTGTTTTTAGGTTTTAGGGAGAGAGAGATTTGTCTCTTGAACCCTTGTTCTTTCTTTTTCAATTTCGGTTTCTATTCTACTTTTTAATACTATGTTTTTGATTTCGTTCATCATGTCTGAGTAATTTTATTGTTAGGATTAAGGGATTTTCGATGGGGATTTATATGTTCGATGAGGATTCCATGAGCTTTTGAGCCGAATCTTAGAACTTTTTCTTCTGAATTCGTTTTTACTGCATGAGAGTAGCGTCATGAACTACAATCTGATCTAGATGCTTGGTGACACGAAAGTGTTCATCCGGTGTCATATCTAGTTTGGGAGAGCAAAACAAACATAGGAGTAAAAACCTATCTATGGGCGATTTGTGAATGCTGACGAGTCTTAAACATAATGCATCTCTTCTTTTCCAGGGCCAGAGTGGAAACCTACTGGTCAGGGTTGTGAGAGATAGTTGTCTATGATCACGACAATGGCGTATTCATACGTCCGTGATTCCAGTTTGAAAAGTTTAAGCTAAGATCTTATCAAATTTACTCTCTAACAATGTTTTGAATCGTTCGTACCCCTGAGAAAACTTCCCTGAACCCCAACGCCTCTTTCCTTATAGATTCACACCGTTTTTATTTCAAGCTTTAGTTCAATATTCTCATTCCTTTTTAATCGATTTTCATTTAAGCAATTAGATTAGCCGTTTCTCTCGTTTTTACTCGTTTTCGTTAAGTTTAGTTATTAGGTCATTTTAATTACCGTATTTTCTCTTTAAGATTCGTTTTTACATTTTAAACACACCACCAAAACCCCCACAAACCCGTTTGGTTCTAGACTTCCTTACTTTATATTTCTTTCAAAGGCTTTTGCAGGAAAAGATCCTCATTTCCTGTGGATTCGATCCCTAAGTACTACAATCGATCAGCTGTGCACTTGCGGCTATTGATTTCATTTAGGGTAAAACTTGACAACCCTCGACACACACCACATCAATACTTGGGATTCTTAAGTCATAAGCACTTTACATTTCCGGTCATCATTCCGATCACTTCTCTATTTCTTCTCCACGGTGGTTCCTAATACTTGTTTTTCGTTCAGATCCATAGTTATTTTTTTGTTTAAATGTTTCACCCCTAATACTCTATATATATGTTTATCGAAAATACACAATAGCAGAGTACATGTATTCTCCATATAAGACTATGTACATTGATTTCAATATTCAACACCTTACTTTTTCTTTTTTAACACTCCACATTATCATCTCTTTTCCACCTAATATTTCAACACTCACTTAATTTTTAATCTCTACCATGGTTCTGATGAATAATTTTAGCATCTTCCCGACCACTTATATAATTTATATTTCAATATATTTTTCAAAAAACATTTTTTTTTCTGTGTCCAAATTAAATAAAACAAGTCTATATTTATAAAGTACAAAAGTAATGAATTTTGAAATATTTGTTTTTTTAAATAATAATTTACCATAAATAATTGATCTCAAATAACTAGGATAAAATAAAAATAAGAGAGAAAATAAATATCTCTCATTGTGTGAATATGATTGGTCTATGTGGCTTCGTATCTCTATCATTTTTATTTTTCAACATGTTGACTTTATTCAACACCAATTAATCTACATCAGATTCACACATTTTTCAATACATCCATTATAACAACTAGGATAGAACCCGCGCGTATGCGCAAATCTTGTTTTAATTTATATTTTAAAATATTATTTTTAAAATTTGTATTGAATTTTATGTTCAGTATCAATGTTTTTTGCGTTTAAAATATTATTTTATTTGATTTCTTCTTGATGATATATTATTTGTAATTTTTTCTACACCAGTTGTGCCAAATAGTCTATTTTTTTCTCTCAAGATAATAAGGGACTAAAAATCTATTATTGTAATCTTTATATGAAAATATAGTAGTTTACTTAAAAATATACGTTGAATAATATTTATTTGTTCTTCGATCTTCATATTTTTTTTATTCTTGTAAATCTTTCTAATATAATATTTGTTAACTTTCTCAAATTACTATTTTGAATTTTTTCGGTTATATATATATAATGATTCCATTTTTTTAGTTAAAAAAAACCATGTATGACATTTTTACGTGTGCATCTTTCTTTTTACTATTATTTTTTAATAACTTTTATCTCTTTAATGATTTATTAAATATTATTTGTGTTTTATAATTTTATTAGTTGGAGTTTTATATAAAATTATTTGAAACTTCTTAACTTATTTAATCTCATAATTTTTTTTCACTTGCATTAAGATTTAATTATATTTTTAGTTTGAAAATAAAGTTTAAATCACTTGAAGAAAAAAATAGAATTGTGTATTTAAAAGGTCTTGTATTATATAATATTTATAAGTTATTATATATTTAAATTTAATTTTGAGTTCATTCTAATATAAATAATTATTAATATGATTTAACAGTTGAATATATTTGAAGTAGTCAAGGGAGTTTTTTCCCTCTCTCTCTTTTCTCTCACCTCTATCCCTTAGAGAGAGAGCACTTTTCCTCCCTTATGTAAATATTCCGAGACAAAATCAGATCTTTTTTTCCATTTATATATTTGACCAGTTCGGATTTTTCCCTTTCCGTTTGTCAAAATCCTCTTGCTATTTCACCTTGTTGATTTTCTCTACTTAAATCCTTCACTAATCTTAAGTGGAGTGATATGATTTCATTTCGTTAGAGAAATCATGGTCACACTGCAATTTAGCAAAGGTTTATGGCTTTCGGATGTTAAAAGCCCTCTCTCCTCTGCATATGGATCCTCTTATATTTGAGGCGGTGCTGATTGGATCCGGTGGTATGTGTTGGGGATTTTCTTTTTCGACTTTGGGAATCATCTTCTCTTCGGCTGGGAGTTTGAGATCTCCCTAGATCCTCTATCAAAAGCCTTATTCAAGGTTATGTGAAATTAGTCATGAGTTAACGATGATCGCCGATGTATTTTTGGAGAGATATATCCTCTGACCAAGGATACTCACAGGATCTACAAGGAAGAGTAAGCAAAAGGCAATGCAGCATCGGTTTCGCGTGGCTGCCAAATGATCCACTTAGCTAACAGAGAAATTTTCCGGTGGTGGCTGTGTTTTCGGCGAATCTTGTCGGTGAGATAATCAGCAAAACAATGCAAATGTTCTTAGCCTCACACGTGTCTTAGATATGTGTAAAGTATTATACATGTTTGATAGTTTTTATGGGTCGGTATTGAGCTTTTTTTTATATGTTGTGTTGGACTTTTTTGATTTGTGTTGTAATTTGCTCTGGCCTGTTGGGCCTTTGTTATAAAACGAAGTGCTGAACAAAAGGATATATTTTAAGTAGTTTAACTAGATTTTATCCCGTATATCCGTACGAGATCTATTTATAATTTATAAAATTTTGTAATATAATTTTTATTTTTACTTTTTTCTCGATATAATTTTCTAATAAGTGATAAGTATTTTTTTCTGTTTATATATAATTTTTTTCTAATATATATATGACTGCGATTAGAAAAATATTATTCTAATTCGTCCATTCATATTAATCCGAAAAGTATAACAATTATAAAAATTTCATTACAACATGTCTATTTATATTAATCTTCAAATTACCGAATTATTAAAACATCATTATAATTCATCCATTTATATTTTTTTATATTTTTAAGTTTGAATATTAAAAAATTTAGATTTATTTAATAAAAATATATCATTTTTATCTGTCATTGAAAATATTATTTAAATTTGAATATTTAAATTAAATCTAAATTAATATCCAAATTATAATTTTTTTAAAATATAATGATTACTTATTTAATAGTTTTTGATAAAAATAATATAATCTATATTTTAAAAAATTTATAACAAATCTAAATTCAAATTTAAAATTTAAAATTTATTTTAAAGTATAAATTAAAAATATATTATTTTATTAATATTACATTAAATTAATTTGTTTGATAACATAAATAAAAGTTATCCAAAAATAAAATAATAAAAAATTAAATAAAATCTGTTTGAACTGAAAACATAATTCAATTTTAATAGTATCGATAGAAAAATACTATATCTCAAAGCGGTTTACAGGTAACCGGAAAATCCCGGTTATTAACGAAACCGATCGGTTTTTAAACGAGACGAAAACTTCTCACTTAACTTCGCAGACACCTCGATCTCATCGAAGCTCCTCTCTTACATATCACTTCACACCAAGCATACCTACTCCTCCTCTCTTCTCTCTCTCTCTCGGCTCTATCAGGTATCTCTCTTTGGTTTCCTGTTTGTTTGGTGAGCTTATTAAGGAGGAATGTAGATGTGTTTTGGGTTTTTGAGGAGGTCTTTAATATCTCTTGTCGATCGAGTTATCTTTCATGTTAGGCTGCGAAAAATCTGAACTTGTGCGTTCTTTTTTTTGTTATGTTAAGTTGTCTGGATTGATCTGATCTTTAATTCTGTTAAATATATTTTCTCGTATGTGAAAAATGTTGGTTTGTGTATTCTTAATAAATCAAATCATTAGAAAAATGCAGATGGGTTTTTTGGGCTTTTTCTTTCTCTAGATTGAGATTTCTTCGATGTTCTTGTCTCGTGCAAATGAGCTGGCTTTAGGTTGATCTGATTCTTAATTTCTGTTTAACCAATATTCACATTTGCGCAAATTATAACTTAGGGTTTAGTGCTTCTTAATTTCTGTTTAACCAATATTCAAATTGTGTATTGAATGAATTCGAAACCAAATCATTAGAACGAAAGCTCATTAGTCTTCTTGATTTTTTAGTGCTTGACTTGTTGTTTTCAGTTATTACAAATACTTCTTTTGTTACATGTTTGCACAGAAAATATTAGAAAGGTTGTGAGAATGGCGGCAACAGCAGCTTCAAGCTTGCAAATTGCTACAATAAGGCCAAGCATTTCTGCTGCACCTTGCAAAGTTCTTAAAGCAGGGACCTACATTGTCGGTGTCAATCCCGGAAACGCGTCATGGGATAAACTTACCTTCACTCGCCATCTATCGAACCTCGGATGTTTGAAGAACCACAGTGCTGTTCCAACCTCTAAAAGACCCTTTTCCTTTTCCACAAAGGCGATGTCTGAATCCAGCGAAAACAAGGCTTCTTCTGGACTTCCTATTGATTTGAGAGGTTGGCATATCTTCCTTTGTAGTCATCTTAATCTATCCTAAGATGTATTAGAAGCGTTGTGACTGAAGACGTGAGCTATTTGAACTAAAGAAACGGTTAAATGGTTACAGGAAAAAGGGCTTTCATTGCTGGTATAGCTGATGATAATGGATATGGTTGGGCCATAGCAAAATCTCTTGCTGCTGCTGGAGCTGAAATATTGGTTGGGACATGGGTTCCTGTAAGTGATCTTCATTCTGTTAATCATGTTGTACTCTTATTTCTTTTCGTTTGTCTCTTTCAGCTGCTTTTAGTTTTCTCAACTGCGAAATTATACTGACTTCGAGTGGTCTACTAGGCACTTAATATATTCGAGACAAGTCTGAGACGTGGAAAATTCGACCAGTCACGTGTGTAAGGACTTAAAAAATTGATGAAGTCTGGTTTCTTTATTGGACCGTGCTTATTTTATATAATGGGACGTTAATTTTCCATCCATTTGTGTGTATATTCAGGTTGCCGGATGGGTCATTGATGGAGATCAAAAAGGTTTATCCTTTGGATGCTGTGTTTGACAATCCTGAAGATGTGCCTGAAGATGTAAGGAAATTCAAGTGTATAACTTTAACATCATATGTGAACCGTTAATATCCGGATTACGTCTTATCTTCTTAACTGTATGATACATTTTCAGATTAAAGCGAATAAGCGATATGCTGGATCAGCAAACTGGACAGTACAGGTATAGATGGAGATATCTAAGTTTAAAATGTATAAGCACATCTAAAGCAAGAGAAGTGTGCTTAATGATTGCGGCTTATCAACTCATCTGTGTTTTTTGTGTTGTTGCTTAAATCAGGAAGCTGCCGAATGTGTGAAAAAAGATTTCGGAAGCATCGACATTCTTGTCCACTCCCTTGCAAATGGGCCAGAGGTAGAGAACACAGTATTCATATACAATACTGTCTACAAGAAGTGTATTGTGTACAATATTTTTCATAATTATTGCACTTGATCTTTAGGTTAGCAAACCTCTTCTGGAGACATCGAGGAAAGGCTATCTCGCTGCCATATCTGCTTCGAGTTACTCCTTTGTTTCCTTGCTCAGGCATTTTCTGCCGATTATGAACCCAGGTACTTATAAAAACATCGTATGTCTCTTATTCTTTTTAGTTATGTTTTCTAATTTGTTTCTCTATGATGATTCAGGAGGTGCTTCTATATCTCTTACTTACATTGCCTCCGAAAGGATCATTCCCGGGTAACAATGCTCACACACAACAATAGCCACGCATTTTCGGAACACAGAACTCTATTTCTCAGTCACAGGATTACAAGCATCTCTTTCTTTCTGTGTAGATATGGTGGAGGTATGAGTTCTGCCAAAGCTGCACTAGAGAGTGATACACGGGTGAGTTTTCAATTCTCAATTCTGGTTAAATAGTGTTTCATTAACTAAAAGATCTATAGGTCAGATGTTCTAATTATGTGTTCAATATAGGTGCTTGCATATGAAGCTGGAAGGAAACAAAACATTAGGGTCAACACCATCTCTGCAGGTAATTCAGTCTCAACATTTTCGAGCCTAGTCATATAAATCTCCTGGCCTTTTTTATTACAAAAGAGTACTACTGTTTGGCTTTCAGGTCCTTTGGGAAGCAGAGCAGCGAAAGCAATTGGATTCATAGACACGATGATTGAGTATTCCTACAATAATGCACCGATTCAGAAAACACTAACCGCAGGTTAATTTCCTTTTAAGTCCAGCATCACTTATAGCTTTTAAAAATTGTTTTTTTTTCTTGTGGAATTATAAAAAATGGCAATGATGCAGATGAAGTTGGGAATGCAGCAGCCTTCTTGGCATCTCCACTAGCCTCTGCTATAACCGGTGCAACCATCTATGTGGACAATGGCTTGAACTCAATGGGTGTTGCACTTGACAGCCCGGTTTTCAAAGACCTCAACACTCCGAAAGCTGATAAGTAGGGTACTGATCGAGGATCGACATGAGTTTGTTTGTTTGTCTTTACGAGTAGTTTGTACCGGCTTATCTACTTTTTCTTCTTTGAAGAGAATAAATTATGGCTTTAGATATGTCATTTTAGCGACGATATGTATTAAACTGATGCACTATTTTGTTCCTGATTGAAAATTTGCAAGTGAAGGTACTCTCCGAGTTTCTACTTTCTGCTACAGCCACATGACCTATGTTTTACCGATTCTTAGACAATTCTTGAATTTGGATAGAGTCAAGCTCGAGAAACATCTTTGTTAGAGATAATTAAGCTTGCTTTGACATTAATTTTGTGACAAGATAAACCAAAACCAAAGAGAGATACATCGTCTCCTTCACTCTCAAACCAATTACAAGACTCATGCAACCAAACCGGTTCCTCCAAAAAAAATACTCAGATAACCAGCTCTTCCAAACCTCAAGGCAAACAGCTTCAGACTTTGGGTTTATGAAATTTGTGCATTTAGAAGTTCTTCGCGCAGGCATTTTTCCTCGCATGGTTTTAACTTAGAACTGTGAAGCTTTTTGGATCTTTGCTAGTCAGCCATTGTCTAAGCACATTTGGCAGCCAAAATCAAGTTGAACATTGTCTTAGTTCTTACCCTGCACATATTGAAAGAGGATTCAACATGGCAACATTCTCTTATAGTAAAAAAGAAACAAAGTTAACCAGATGAAGCGATTATCTTCTATCTCACAAACATGTGAACTTATTGTCCTCAAATAACCTCTCTTTGATACTACAATGGCACCAAAATTGTGCTTTTCACCTGCTCGTATCATTCTTTATTTCAATACTTCACAACGGTCAAAATTAGAGGAGCAAAGATGCAGATCCAAAATCTAGTTCTACATATTTGCATAACTTTTAAGGAACTGAATATCCCGGATCTTAAACTAAAGTGTGATCTCTGGCAGTAGAATAGCCTGAACAAGAGATTCAATCCACACAGCAAGCACCTGAAGCATACATAATGCCAACTGGCTAACTAAGCGCAATGGCACTTGACTTCAGACTTCAAAATAGAACTAGGATCTAGTGAATCTAATAGAGCATCGAAAAGATTGTTCAGATGCTTACTGTGAGTTTTTGTATGTTTTTCAGTTCGGCTTCCTATTACGCCTAACAGAGTAGAGAATGCATGATGGTAGAAAACGCCAATGTACAGGGATATTGAATCAAAAACCTAGCAGGCAGCCATAGTTACATTTCCCGCTTTCCTCTCTAGAGGTGCTACATCATTGCTTTGTCCTTTTACTGCAAACTGGTTTAGCTGATAGGCCTCCTTAGCCATTCCAGCCTTAAGAAGACAAGATGACAAAGAACTCACTGTAATCTTATCCGGTGAACAACCTATTGCCACCATTTTGTGGAAAATGCTGATTGCTTCACACATCCTTCCTTTCATGCAATGCCCAATTATAAGAATTGTAAATGTGATCTTATCTGGTTTGCATCTAAACTTCTCCATCTCTGCCACAATAACATTCGCCTCGTTGACCTTTCCAGCTTTACAAAACCCATCAATAATAGGGTTATACAAAAACGGTTTCGGGACAATGTCCATACAAGCTAACTGACCCAAAAGCTCACGAGCCTTGAGCAGCCTATTCTCTTTACAGAGCGCGTTGATAAGAATAGAATAGGTAAAGGCATTAGGAAACATTCCTTTCGCGCTCATTTCTTCCCAAAGACTAAACCCTTTGTTCACTTGTCCAACTCTGCAGTATCCGTCAATTAAAGTAGTGAAGGTCACAACGTCTGGGAAACAGCCAAAAGAATCCATTTTCCTGCGAATGGCTTCCGCAGAAGACATCTCACCGGCTTTCACATAACCATAGACAAGAACATTAAACGTTATATTAGTTGGGTACATTCCCAAACCAACCATTTCATCTAACAAAAGAGACGCTTCTCGCATCTTTCCAGCTTTGCAGTACCCTGACATCATCGAAGTATAAGTAACAACATCCCGAAAACAACCATTTCTTGACTTAACCTCGTTAAATATCTCATTCGCTTTGTTCAGCTCATTACTCTTGCAAAACCCTTTAATAAGAGTATTATACGTGACGATATCAGGTGAAGAACCAAAACTGCTCATCTCACCCAAAAGCTTTAATGCTTCGTGTGCTTTTCCTATCCCACACAAACCTTGAATCAGAATGTTAAACGTCCTTGTATCATTACAAGACTGACTCCTAAGATGTGTATCGAAAAGCTTCATCGCATCTTCCACACGATCCAACCTCACTAACGTATGCAACAAACTGTTCACCACCATAGAACTACCTTCAACCTCGTAAGATTGAAGAAGCAACGCAGTAGCGAAATGAAGCTTACCCTTTTCAGCGAAAGAAGACACCAAAAATCCTAATAACCGACTATTCGGAGAAACACCATCACTCTTCATACACTCAAACATCTTCCCAGCTAAATCGTGTAAACCGGCTTTACAAAGCGACCTCGTAAGCAAGTTATAAGTCCAGAAAGAATGGCGAATGTTGAGCTTGAATCTACTAAACTCCCAAAACCGAAACCCAATGTGGGGATTATCCAGTTTCTTCACAACCTCGAAGGCGATAAACGGATTGAGATTCTTGCTCAGGTAGCAAAAACAGAGATCGGAGTCTGGAACTTGATAGACGAATAAAGTAGAGACGATTTTGACTAACCAAGCTTCGGGGCACTGGATCACTTCCCGTGTATTGCTCTGTAAAGGACGAGCTTGAGCTCCTCCATGAGTGTGCGAGTGGAAAAGGCCAATGGTGGTGGCGAAGGATGCTCGGATCATAACGGAGTGACAGAATCGGCGGATGAGATTTGGGAGGAGCTAGGGCTTGTTTTTGTCAACCTCATCTGAGATTTTTTTTTTTTTTGCAGATCAATGTGTGAGACTGAAATGTTAGGGAAGAGAATCAGAGATACTGAGACCTTCTATGCGAGCTAGAGGCCTTTGAACCCGGATGGTTTATAGTTCTACTATCCAGCATGTTCATTTTGAGTTAACGATAGGTTAATAATAATGGATAAAAATAACAGAGAGATTTACCCAACTTGCACTCAATGAATAGAGTTTAGAAACATTGTTCATAAAAATAAACAGGCTTTAGATAGATACATTTTCATGTAATACATAAAAATAAACATTATAAGTATTTGATAGATACATTTTCATGTAATACCTAAAAAATGAACCATACATTCTCCTTGAAAAAGATAGAACAATAGAGATGCTATTTCAACCAAACAGATTTTTCTCAAAACCCACAAATCCACTAAATTATCTTTAGGAACTTACAAAGTCTCTCTCAGAAAATCTAAAGTGTTTTAAAGCTTTGTAATGCTTGCAAACTTTAAAACAAAATCTCTATCTAAGAAACTCTTCAAAGACCTTTGCCTTATAAACTTTAATTTTTTATCGAAGCCTATCTAGTCTCAGGTTAGCACAAGACCTTTTCCTAATCCTTTTTAAACTAGTAAAAGTCTAATTTCCTTTTCTTAAGTCTTTTCTCCTTTCTTTGCTGATTTCCTTTTCTTTTTATAGTTTGTATACTTTGATTTTGATTCCTTTAGTTTATTTTCCTCATCAGCTTCCGTTGTGATGCATCCTCTGAATTTTACATCTTCAATCTTCCCCTTTTTTAGCTTAGTTTGATTCCAAGCCTTTAAGATCTTCTCATGTGCAAATGATAGCACCATAAATAGACAATGACCATACATATCACAGGGTTCTTGTTCTATGCGAGCTAGAGGCCTTTGAACCCGGTTGGTTTATAGTTCTACTCTCCAGCATATTCATTTCGAGTTAACGGTAGGTTAATAATGGGTAAAAATAACAGAGAGATTTACCCAACTTGCACCCAATGAATACAGTTTAGGAACGTTGTTCATAAAAATTCAGTGTTGGTAGTTGTACCAGTCTTACGACAGTTAATAAAAGCATTAACTGCCGTAAGACTGGTACAACTACCAACACTAATTTGACCGTTCTCTCTTTTATCCATGCAACGATGAAACGCGGTGTGATTATCTTTTAGACAGTTATTATTATTTATTTATTTACTTTTACAGAGATAAATAAACGCGTCGTTCCCTCTTTCCTCATCTTTTGTCCATGCAACGCGTCTATATAATAAATAATTCCTCTCACGTGAGTAAATGCTGAGTAGATAAATATCCGAATACCTCTATAATCCAAACAAATATCTGAATATCACAGTATATGGGTAAAAATCATATAATTCCAATAACGCATTAATGAGAGTAGCAGTTATTCCTCTCTTTCATACGATCGCATTTACTCGACGAGACTACTCACTTCCTCCATTTTCTTTTATTTAAGTTCGCAAATTAAATCCATACAGAAAGAAGTTCCAAAATCCATTCACTTCTTCATTACTTTCCCAAATCCATCACTTTTTCCTTCCTCCTCTCTCTTAGGGTTCAAATTTTCCTTTTATATTACAAAATCCATGATTTTCTCTTAGGGTTTCATATCTTTCACAAAACTCGGCCTCGACCACTTTCATATATAAATCCATGGCAGAGTACTTCTACCTACTAGCATTACTAGACAAACTACTGGAAAAGGTTTTGGCAAAGTCGGCTAACACAATTGGTGACCTAATACGGATTCGCTCGATTTGTCATAGGTTCAACGACTGCACCAGAGGCCTTGGCTTCTACGCTGAAGTTGATCCCTTTAATATGGGTCATCCAGTGGATCAAGATGTCCATCTCATCATTGATGTCTTCAAAGAGATCTATGATGCAAAAAATCCAGGCATGCTTTTCATGCGAGGTATGCAACTCTATTTTCATCAACACGATTTTGGAGGGATTCAACTGATAAAGGATGCAGAGGATAAAGGGTACACGCGTGCAGTATATGCCTACGGGATGTTCATGAAACTTGTTATGGAACATCCTGAGGGTGATGAGTACCTCATCAAACTAAGCCGGGAAACAATAAGGAAGTGCAGCCGCGAGCTCGTTGAAGAAGTATATCTTGGTTGGCTAATGGCGTTGCCAGAGATGTTCGATGAAAATCACCGTCGCTTTTTACCGCGCCTCAATACTCTTATCCACTGTCTGTGCGGTACAGTTAACCGATGGGAGCGTTGGTGGAATGATGAGTATAAACCAGGGAACATCTGCAACTACTGCTTCTTAACTCGCGAATGCGGAAGGTTCTTCCTAAATGTGTACCGGGTAGTTAGGGCTTTTCCTGAAATTGTAAACTGTTGAATGTGTCTGATGTTTTGTGTCTTATGTTTTTTGTTTTCTGTACTTCTTTATGTTCTGGATTCCTTATGTACACAATTCGTAATGTTTTGTACTCCTTTATGTTGTGTATAAACATTATTCTAATAATTTTAACTCGAACACTATAATACCAAGTTTTCCCAATATTTGGTTTTCAATAATCTAAAATCAATAATAAAATAAAAGTACACACCCTAATACAGTTTAATAAAATACAAATACATATATCAAATGTCAAAGGAGACTTAACGTCCCCGCTTTGTGTTTGGCCCTAGCTTCGATTGCTCTTGTTTCTGTTTACCTGCGCCCACTTCTGCATTCACAGCGTCATCACCGTTTGGTTCTACCTACACATACCAAGTAAAACAACATAGTGTCACCACAAAATATTAAGTATTACCAAAACAATGGACTTTACTCTTCAAACTTCAATACCTCTTTACTTCTAAGCAGGTACGGAGATCGGGATACAAGCTGCTCCGCCTCCTTCTGCTTCGCCTCTTTCAGCTCCGCCTCATTCATCTCCGGCTCTTTCTGCTCCGCCTCCTTCTGCTCCGCCTCCTTATGCTCTGCCTCCTTCTGCTCCGGCTCCTTCTGCTTCTTCTTCGGCTTCTGCTTCGGCTGCTTCTTCTTCGGCTGTTTCTGCTTCCTCACTTTCTCAGTTGTTACCACACTTTCAAGTTTCTCTCCACCTTGTTCATGTTCATGTTCTACATCATTTTGAAAAACTTCTCCTCCCTCATCTCCTGGTCCTTCCCTTTCTCTTCTTGTCTCTTTTACATATTGTTCTATAGAGCAGAGTCTTGTATCAAAGCCATCCATTCGGGCACTGATTCGGAGAAACTGAGCGTCCATACTCTTCTACAAGCTCTGAAGCTGTTCCACCAATCCAAGAAGCGCCACATTCTCCGTCCCCACATTATTCTTAGCCGCTGCAGGATGGTTTACCCACTCCTTATTATCTCGGGCATCAACATCGATCTTGCATATCTCTTTCCAGAATATCAGCTTCTTTTCCTCAACTAAACACCTCGTCCAATTTTCAGGAACGATATCGCCGACATCTTCCTCTTCATTCCTCTCCATGACTCCAGCAAGCATAATTACCTCATCCTCGGATGGTTGCAATATACTCTCGATGACCCTAGTGTTACCCAATGTTTCATAGAGTTCCGACAAAGAGAAACCTTTTAGGGTGAATGGTTGGAACTTCTGCCTGCACATCCGGAGACAATCCCTCTCTGCTCTCAAATGCTATCAACTACACATATACCCAACAAATTACACTTAAGCTCATAGTATTACATACTTACAAATTCTTTATAATGTGACATACCTCCAAGGGAGTAACAAAACTTGGAAATGTCCAAGAATCTGTTACGACGACCCCTTTGAAATGCCTCATTGTGTGCTCAATCTCCTTCAGATTTACATCGAATGAAAACCTACCCCAAAGAAACCTTTTACAAGCCTCAAGATAAACCACAATCCTTAGGAATAAGGGGTCAACAGATGGTGCTCCCTTACTGGTTTTCGTTTTCCCACTAATTATAGAGTATAAAAAGTAGGCGACACACATCTTCAACCGATCAGGATGAGCTAGCCCTCGCATCGCTCTAAATTTTTCTCAACAGCAGCAAGGGAGGGGACGGTTTCCTGGAAATATCTATTCTTAAACGAAGAACTTTATATGCTCTCATAGTCCTCTGGGTACGGTGGACAGTTTAATCCACACAAAAAGGCATGCTCTCTAAGGGAATAAGGTTTTGGTACACCATTCACTACAAACCAAGCTTTCCTCTTCTTATTTGTGTTTGTTGTCCGAAGAAGAAGCAACCACATTCCCATCATCTTGTGTGTCGTGTCCTCATGCATGGCCCTATGCGTGTGCCAAAAATGCTTGAACTGTGGGTGTTCTGTAAACCATATCTGCTCATGGGGTTCAAGGTCTAGGGACTCCAATTTTGCAACAGCTTTGTGGATATAACATCTTGTTCCCAGCTTTATTGCATTATGATACTGACTGGGCTCGAAGAACATTCTCACGGGTGGCAATGGCTGGTTCTCCTCCTCCTCAGCCTCAGTTTCCGTATTTTCAGTAGTGTTCTGCCACATCACTATCTGATTATTACCCGTCTCTGAATCGGCAACTCTTTGTACCATTTTCTCATGCAACGATTCGGAATCTGAGTACAGTTTTTGTCTAGCATATCTAAACACTCTTTTGATACCAGCCATGACTCCTATTTTGTAATTACCAACTGAATAGAGAACATATAAATCGAATTTTGGATTCTACACAAAATCAAGTTCATCTAAATAGAAATTAGAAATCAGAGGACAAATCAGAGGACGAAGACGAACGAACCTGATTTAGCGTTGATTCAAGACAGGCAGTAGTTGTCCCATAGAATACTAGACGAAGACGACGACGAGAGGATGATTTCAAATTTGAATATTTTTTTTAAAAAAATTTTCCAAGTATAATTGCTATTTAGGGTTTGACTTACCACAATTTTGACCGAAGCCACGATTTCTTCGGATTCAACCCGATATGACAGACTAGGTGTGGATCTTCGTGGTTGGTTTTGTAAATATGCTACTTTACTAAGGACCTCCAAGTATTTTACCACTTTTCATCATTTTTCTTCCTTTAAAATAAATTAAAAAAAAATTAAATATTATGAGGAGGAGATATGAGAATTTCTTTAATGGGTAAGATTGAAGAAGCAATGCAGTAGCGAAGAGAAGCTTACCCTTTTCAGCGAAAGAAGACACCAAAAATCCTAATAACCGACTATTCGGACACTCTTCATACACTCAAACATCTTCCCAGCCAAATCGTGTAAACCGGCTTTACAAAGCGACCTCGTAAGCAAGTAATAAGTCCATAAAGAATGGCGAATGTTGAGCTTGAATCTACTAAACTCCCATAACCGAAACCCAATGTGGGGATTATCCAGTTTCTTCACAACCTCGAAGGCGATAAACGGATTGAGATTCTTGCTCAGGTAGCAAAAACAGAGATCGGAGTCTGGAACTTGATAGACGAATAAAGTAGAGACGATTTTGACTAACCAAGCTTCGGGGCACTGGATCACTTCCCGTGTATTGCTCTGTAAAGGACGAGCTTGAGCTCCTCCATGAGTGTGCGAGTGGAAAAGGCCAATGGTGGTGGCGAAGGATGCTCGGATCATAACGGAGTGGCAGAATCGGCGGATAAGATTTGGGAGGAGCTAGGGCTTGTTTTGGGTCAACCTCATCTGAGATATTTTTTATTTTTTATTTTTTTCAGATCAATGTGTGAGACTGAAATGTTAGGGAAGAGAATCAGAGATACTGAGACCTTCTATGCGAGCTAGAGGCCTTTGAACCCAGATGGTTTATAGTTCTACTATCCAACATGTTCATTTCGAGTTAAAGATAAGTTAACAATAATGGATAAAAATAACAGATAGATTTACCCAACTTGCACCCAATGAATAGAGTTTAGAAACATTGTTCATAAAAATAAACAAGCTTCATTTGCTGTTCGATATTCTAACCTCATTTGCTTTTTTTTTTCAACTACCCAATTATTACATTACTATTGGCCCGTTTAAAGGTTGATCCGAAGAAACCCTGATGCGGTGGTGTGCTGAGTGTCAACTACGTGAGGGAACAAGTTTTACCCTTAACAAAACAAAAGAAAGCCGCTAGTGCACAGCTAATCAGTTGCAGTATTTAGGATCGAATCCTCAGAGATTTGTGTGCCTGGTATTCTTCTACGGTTTTTAACTTTATGTCTAGACTAAATTGGTTTTAAAGGTTGGTTGTTTTTCTTGAATTAAACTAAAGCAAAATAAAGCAAATAAATTTATCCTAAAAGGCAAGTAAAGAAATCGAATGAAAGGCAGTAGAACAAGTAAAATATCGAACTAAACAAAGATAACGCAAGTAAAATATCGCATGAAAGGTAAATAAAGCAAGTAAATAACGAACTAAGGAAATTGAAATGCAGGTCTAAGAAAAGCAAGTAAAAATCGATGGAATTGTAAACTATGGCTAAAAACGCTGAGCTTTTGGGAACTCTAAGGGATCATAATCGGTTTTAACAATAAGGTAGATAGATTGGGATTGACGGATAACAATATATGGGTTCTAGAGCTAGAGTACGGCGGTATGACTACGTCACTGTCGTGATCATAACCAACTGTTTCTCGCAACCCTGACCAGTAGGTTTCCACTATGGCCCTGGAAGGGAGAGAACGCAAGAGCTGCATAAGACTCGTCAATACTCACGATCTCGCCGCAGGTAGGTTTCCACTCCTACGGAAAAATCGCCTGTTTCATTCTAGGGCTGATACTTAATGAAAACTTTCGCAACACTAACTATCTAGATCAGATACTAGGTGATCAATCAAGCATACATGCAATAAGAACAAGAATAAACAGAGAACAGGTCGAAATCCCAGATCTATAAACCTAGATGTCTTAATCGATTATGAGAGCCCCTTTCGGGAACCCTAAGCCCAACTCGGGATCTACTCAGACATGGCTGAGTTCGACATCATCATTGGTTTTAATAAAAGTAATGAAAAACAGTAAAGAAAAGAGATAAAGAAAACTTCTCTATTGAAGAACTCGGACTTGAACAATCTTCTACAAAAATCTCATAAAAACGGCTAAAGGAAAAGGGTTCTGTAAAGTATCAAAAGCTCTCCTAAAAACGACCTAAATGACATGTATTTATAGTCTCCAATACTCCATGGTCTCTAGGGTTCCGGAATTGAGGCTGGGAATGACTTTGGGCTTCAGATAAGTGGGCTTTAAGTCGGAGCTTGAATGCCGCGGTCGGGAGTGCTGTGACCGCGGCAATTGGCTGTTTCCCGCGGTTGGGAAGCTTCTGACCGCGGCAAATAGCTTGTTGGCCACGGTTGCGTGAGCTGCTGGCCGACTCCGCGTGGCTTCGGGGCTAATGGAATATCTTGAGATCCAACTGTTGGAATGTCTCCAAACCAAGTGCATTTGAAAGCTGGTTGATTCTTCTATAAGTTGTCCAATTTTGAGGGTGATCAGACGGTGAGAAGGTCTTCGTCTCTCCATGAGAGTTCTGACGGTCTGCATTTATCCAAAAGAGTCTTTTTGTTCCATTTTATGCCTCTTTATCCCAAATTACCTGAAAAGTCTTTTAAAATCCGGAAACATAGAAATCCTTTGAAAACCTTTGAAAATGGAGTAAAAACACCTGTAAAAGATATTAAAATGATCCATAAAAATGATCAAAATCCGGTGTTATCAACTCCCCCAGACTTAGTCTTTTGTTTGTCCTCAAACAAAACAAAAGCTAAATCTCGGCGAGAGGTTTGAAAACGCAGGAACTAAACAAAATCTCAGAGACCAAACTTCTAGACCAATATCAATCAGTATGCATCAATCAGGAATAGCCTAGAAAATTCTCACTAGCAATACAGGCATAACTAGTCCGTTAATCCGTCATGCAGAAATCTATGCACTAAGATCTAACTTCTAGTCAACTAGCTCTTAACATTCATTAAAAATCTCGGTGGTTCTCATCATAGAAAATCTAGGCAAGGCAATCTAGGCTAGGTTTAAAGAAGGATTATTTTGGGGGTATGGCTTAAAGTGTTTAAGGGTTACCTTAAGATCTGGAGGGTGCAGGACATTATGCAAAACCGCAAGAGAGAGTGAAGCTGTTGGTATCCACAGTTTTCAGTCACTTTTTCTTGACATAGATTCATGGTCTTCTTCCTCAGGTTCTCTCCAAACTCCCCCAGACTTAGATTTTAGTAAATCTTCAAAACAATAGCTCCTTAAACGAATAGTGGTTGCTCATTGCTCCATAAATTTCGACA